GTCCTACAGGTGAACATGTGGACAACAGCTGTCCTACAGGTGAACATGTGGACAACAGTTGTCCCACATGTGGACAACAGCTTTCCTACAGGTGAACATGTGGACAACAGTTGTCCTACAGGTGAACATGTGGACAACAGTTGTCCTACAGGTGAACATGTGGACAACAGTTGTCCTACAGGTGAACATGTGGACAACAGTTGTCCCACATGTGGATGACAGATCAACAATGGTTTTATCTGCAGAGAGAAGTGGATCAGCTGCTGACCTGCGTGCTGCAACAGAAATAATCTGGATCAGATCTGGACCAAACAGAAGAGATCACTGAGGATTTCAGGGACAAACATATGGTCATCAGCCCCCTTTATTAAAGTAAGGAAGTAAATTTAATTCTGGGGCTCTTTTAAACACAGATTAAACTCTACAAAGTGCTTCATAATAATAACAATATATAAGAGACAGAATAAAACCAGAGAAAGCTACAGCAAGAAGAACAATCAACCAGAATTACAGATTGAAGGATTAAAGGTTCTGAATTTAAACAGATTTAAAACATCTGTGTCATGGTGAAGGAACAACTTGTGATTTTTTTAAGTTACAAAGTTCAAAATGTATTACCAAAAGTTACTGAGATAGTGTAAGGAGGAAATCAGACAAACCAGACATAAAAGGATAAAGGAACAAATTATTATTGTTTTAGTTAGAAACTGTTAGTTAAATTGGGATTTAAAATATTTTTGGTTCGTTTACTTACAAGAGATTAATGCTGCTGTTTCTCTGTGTTTGTTTAGTTATGCTATTAGAGTGAAGACCGAGCTGTTGATCCTTGACTTCCCAAACTGTTACCTTAGATTATAGAGTTCAGTTACTTTTATGACTACTATTAGGTGGATCTGGACAAGGAGGGACACAGGAAAGTCAAAAACTTTCCCAAGCCAGAGAGGAAATATTTTCTCAAGAAAGTCCTGGGTCTGGCCTGGGGTCTCCTCCCAGTGTGACATGCCTGCAAAACTGTTAAAGTTTGCCATTCAGGAGGTATTCTAATCAAAGGCCCAAACCACCTCTACTGACTCATTTTGATGAGGATGAGCAGAAGCTCTTCACTCTATCTGTAAGGCTGAGCCCAGCCACCATATGGAGGAAGCTCATTTTGGCCCTGTGGATCTCGTTCTCTTAGTATTTATCCAAATCTCAGAGATGAGGATTGAAACATGGATCACTAAACTGACAGCTTATCATAATAGGGGTAAATGTCAAAGTGATGAGCAGTGGGGAAAGAAACAGAATCTGGAGATTCATGATAAAAGGTAAGTGAAGTTTATTTACAATAACCTATAATGGATCCTGGAAAGACACGTCCAAGGAGGTCCAGGAGCATGAAGAGGAGAGCAAGGATCCAAAATGAGCAGAGGGTCCAGGTGAATGCCACAGGTGAATATTTACAGGTGTGAGGGAAGACATTGGCAGGCTGGCTCCAGGGCAGCTTTGACTACAGTGTAGCTTACCACCACCAACCATCTTTGAGTAGCCTAAAAAAGTCTTATATAAGTTCAATGTATGTATGTATGTATTATTATCCATCCATTATCTGTACGCACTTCTTCCTTTCAGGGTCACAGGCATCCATATCCAGCAGTCACAGTGCGAGGGCCGGGGTACACCCTGGACAGGTCTCCAGTCCATCACAGGGACACAGAGAAAAACACGTTACCACTTACCCTAACAGTCACGTTTTTGGTCTGTGGAAGTGTGTGTGTGTGTGTGTGTGTGTGTGTGTGTGTGTGTGTGTGTATGCGTGTGTGTGTGTGTGTGTGCGTGTGTGTGTGGCAGAGGTGATTGCTATAAGACTGCAAGGGAAGCTCAGCGTCCCCTAAAATGTAAAAAATAAAAAGATCAAATACAGTATACACTGTTGTGTGTTCATGTCACTGACTAAATATGCGCTACAACGCATTCAACTTTTGTTCAGAATCAGCTTCTTATCACAGTAAGGACGCAGCTTTCCTCTCCCTCATTCCTGCAGCTTCACAGAGCTTTAAACAGTCGGACGCTGAGCTTCCACAGAGCTCAATAGTGAAGCAAAGACTGCAGCGAAACGACAAGAGTCATTGGATAAATGCTGGCTTTGTCCCGCCCATCGGACGCTCAGCGTCTCTGGGGTCTATGGAGCAGTGGGCGGGTTCGGACGCTCAGCTTCTGCATGATGATTGGATGATCTGTTTGAGGCTGAATCCATTTTTGATTGACAGCGAAATGAGCAAATGAGCAATCTTTTAGTGTAAACATTCTGAGCAGTTTTTAGTTGCGTTTCTGTTCGGAGTTGAAGCGGAGACTTTTTTAATCCTTTTAGCTACATTTTCTTTGTTAAAAACGACTAGAGACAAATCGAGCTTCTATTTCTGCTGGTTGTTTTGTAGCTGCTTATGTTTGGAGACGGACTTCTATCACTCTTTCTGACCTCTGTCCAGCAGGTGCTGCTGAGCCCCTTCACTGTCACAAAGCACTCACAGACAGACACGCTTCACTCTAGTCTGGCAACAGTAACAAGCTGCACATAATGGCAGTTTGAATGTTGTGGACCGGATTTTGGTGAAGCCATTTGATAGTCTTCCTTACGAAGGAAAACTTAGAGTTAAACAGCAGAGCATATCAGGTCCTCAGATTAATTTGGTGCAAAAGGTGGGGTAAAGTAAGATAAAAAATTTTTTTATTGACCCCACAGTGGGGAAATAACAGGTCTTTTCAGCTGTCCTGGTATAACAAAGTGAGCTGGCTGCTGTAAAAGACTATAGAATAATCTGAAAAATGATTATAAAAGCATTGGATCAAATTCCTTTAAAAATGATCAAAGCAAAATTGTTAAGGCAATATGAAATTATTTAATTTGTATTTGTATGAGTCACTGTTTGAGGAGTTGAATTTTTTTGTTTTGTTTTATTACATTATTTGGTTTAATATTGTTGGAAATTATTATTTTTTGTAAATAGGAGCAGATAAGATCTTTTTCTTCTTCTGCTGCCTTTCATTTTATTTTATTTGTATTGTTTTGTTTTATGTAATTTTTTGTTTTTTTTAATGAAATTAATAAATACTATAAACTAAAAAAATGATGAAATCATGATTTTCTTGAAAAGGAATGGAGAGTAGAATTTATAAACCGACACATTTTATTATGTAGGCCGAAATTGAGCTTCCTCTTCTTGAAAGACCAGCATCTGCCTCTGGTGTGTGTGTGTGTGTGTGTGGGGGGGGGGGGGGGTTGT